TAATTCCCCAAACCTGTGAAAACGTTGCCTTACGTGATAAGAGGGACTTTGCAGATATGATTAAGTTAAGGATCTTGAGACAGGCAGAGTACTCTGTATTATCCAGGCAGGGCCAATGTAATCACAAAGGTTCTGCAGAAGCAAGAGGGTCAGAGTCAGAGAAGGAGATGTGATTGTAGAAACAAAGTTCCAAGTGATGTGGGGCCAGGAGCACAGGAATGCAGGCAGCAGGCAGCCTCTGGATGCTGGAACAGGCAGGAAAACACAGCTCTGCCAATATCTTGATTTCTGTCCAACGACTAAACTTCAGACTCCTACCCACTAGAACCATATGATAACAAATGTGTGTTGTTTTAAGCCACTATGTTTGTGGCAATTTGTTACAGCAGCAATAAGAAACTAATACAACCAATAAAATTAGCAATAACTCACAAAGCTGACCATGTTCACTTTCTTCCAAATGTTCCAAAAATATCTTTTTACAGTTCGTTTGTTCACAGGTTGTATTACTTTAAAAGTAATTAAGTATTTGTAGGGCCAGTGAATATTTTTACTACTACGTTAACAGAAAAAAAGCCCAAACTGTAAAATAATTTAAAGAGGTTTATTCTGAGCCAAGTATGTGTGACTGATGGCCCAGAGCAGGTTTTTAAGAGGTTTTGAGAAAATGCGCCGGAGGTAGCTGGGTTATACTTTGGTTTTATACATTTTAGGGAGATAGGAGTTACACGTAAAGTCATAAATCAATACACGGGAGGCATACATTGGTTTGGCCAGAAAAGGCAAGACATCTCGAAGCGGGGATACCTATAGATTGTAGGTGGGCTTGAAGACTTTTTTGATTTGTAATTGGTTAAAGAAATGAAGCGTTGTCTAAAGGCTTGGAATGTTCTAACTTAAGGATGTCTGTGAATCAGAAACAAACCACAGGACATGGACATTTATAGAAATTCAAGTGATCTGTTAAGTAAATTGATGGCTGCCAAGTGTGGTTTAGGCTTGTCTTACAAGGCCTTAGGCCTGTTAATGATTTATAACAGTCTCTTATTATAACAATGAGTAACTCCGAAAGGGAGAGGGCATAACAAGGCCTGTCTGACCACCCTTCTCCTCCAGGCCAGCAACTCAGCTTTTTCTGGGGTCTCCTTGGCCAAGAGGAAGTCCATTCACTTGGCTGGGGGGCTTAAGATTTTATTTTAGTTCACCATTATCTGGTTTAAACTAAGTTAATAAAAACTGAATCCAAATAAATAAATACATAGTATCAACCAGCTCACAAGTCACTCACTATTGACCTTGCTGCGTCTGGGTTTCCAAATCTGAAACGTGAGGGGTTGGATGAGAAGTTGTCCCAGGGAGGGATCTATGTCTGAGCTTCATGGGATCTGGGAATACTCGGAAACTGTACGCAAAAGAGGGAGGGTTCTCCGCTTGTCTGTGCCGCAGACTCTCCCATGCCTGGCCCCAGACTACTGAAGTTGCTTATCCCCTCATCCCCATGAGAAGGATATTAAACGCAGGAGTTTGGAGTTCCCCAGGGTAAGGCCCATGTCCAAGAAAGCTGGTGTCAGTCTAGAGCCTTAACAGAGTCAAGGAAGAAACTATCATGAGCTTAGTCAACAGTATATTCAAAGGAATACATTTGCCTGGGACGTACAAATTCAGTTCAGCCACTGTCACGGTTCACCTTCTCTGAGCAAGGACACTGAGCTGGGTGCCAGACTGAGAAATGAAATACAGGGTGCCCAGTGAGAGTTGAATTTCAGATAAATAATGAATCGTTTTTACTATAAGTTTGTCCAAAGCAATATTAGGGACATAGTCATACTATAAAATGTTTCCTTGCTTATCTAAAATGAAACTTAACTGGGAGTCTGTGTTTTATCTGGATCTGACTTGGTTCTGCTCCCAGAGGACCAAGCCAAACACCAGCTGCCAAGACCCAATGACCTGCCTCAAGGCAGCGCTAATGGGACTGGGGGTGGTGGTGAGTAGAGGCCAAAGAAGGTGATAAGAAAGAAAAGAGAGGTTTGAGAATGACCTTATAAGGGCCTGGAGCTAGAAGAAGCAGGTGACTTCTAATCTAATCATCTCTGGTCACCATAGAAACTGGCTGTAAAGTCAACCAGAACAGAGCAGGTGACAGCATCAGTGGTCCACATTCCCTTCCCCCATGACCTAGTCTTGTCAGGCCTGGTTCCAGCCAGGACCTACCCCACCCCTCATCCTCCAAGTCCCTTGTTCCTCTTCCCAGCCACATCTTCAGATGGCTGCCCTTCAATGCCAACCCCGCTGGGAGAGACAAGCGGTCAGACACCCAGTCCCTGTCCATGAGGAGGTCACATTCTAGCTGGTGAACAGACTACATGGGAAGGAAATGGCCCAGGATATATGGCAAAAATTTCTTTAAAACACACACACACACACACACACACACACACATACACACACATGACCAGGTCTGGCCTGGCCTGTCTGCTCACATCTCTCTGTCCTTCCCAGGGTAAAGTAACTCTCTCCTAACCCAGAATGTGATGACACTGATGAGGAAAGCGTTCTATCTTTCAGACATGCCACAGGCTGGCCATAAGCTTTGAATACCAATGCAGGTTTACAGTGAGCATTTTATTTCACTCGGGAAATTAGAGGTTCTTTGAAGGGAGAATGCAAATTTGTTCAAAATGTCTCCACTTTGAGAGAAAAGGCCGGAAGACTGGATCAACTCTTGTGCCAATCAGGAGAGTTTTTTACCTCACAGCAGCCTGAGGTCTTTCTTTCTGTACTTCCTGCTGGGTGGGCTCTAGTCTCCCAGGAGTTGTACTAATTCTCCCCGGGGGGCCTCACACTGCACTTCCACATCTGTCCTCTCTACACAACAGGCTATGAATGCTGTTGCCATTTTATAGGTAGGAAAGTGGGGCTCTGAGTGATTCAGCAACTGAATAGGGTCACTTTGCTTTAAGTGGCAGACTCAGCCGGAAGCACCTCCCTTCCCTAGTTAGGGATAACTTGCATAGTTGGCATTCCCATCTCTTCAGAGGGCTGGCCTGCAACCTCCCTGGTGTCCACGTGGTTGTGTCAGCCTGGATGACCCCCATTCTGCACCTGGACTAATCCTGCTCCTCCTTCGAGTCTCTGCCCAGGTCTCCCCTGAGCCCCAGTTCCACAGGCTACGGGGAAAAATGAGGCCACAGAGGTCAAGCTCCTGCCACAGGCCTGACACACGGGCGCCTGATCCAGGACAGCTCTGATCCTCACTGTCATCCTCACTCCCTGCCCCCTTGAGGAATCCATCCCTTCCCCACCCCCTCTGCCTCGTACACATCCTCACACTGCTGCATGGTTAACTTCTCCTCCACTGAATCCCATGTGCCTGGAGGGCAGCTACCTTGTCTTGCTTCTCTTCAGGGCTCCACACCTGGCTCTAAGCTTTACACTTAGTGGTCTCCACGTGTATTTGCCAATGAATCCTCCTGTCTCCTGGGCTCCAGAGATAGCAGTATGATGAACGGTCAGAATATCATGATAAATTAAAATTCATTTTATGATATGGCTATACAGACAGAGACTGCACTGCTAGTGACATCATGTCGGCTGGTCATTAGTAATGTTTACTTCAAGACAGTGCCCTTGGCCTGGACTCATGTAGGGGAAATGGCCAGAGGCCCACTGGGTGAGTCACCATGGCCTATGGGAACCGCCTCTGATAGGGGTGGGCTATCAGCTGTGTGGGCTGCCCCCGTCTGTCCCTTGGGAGAGAAGCTGTGCTTCATTCATCCTACAGGCCCCAGCGTCTCAGTAAACGTTTTTGGATAAGTGAATGAATTCCTTTGAAATCACACAAAACTAGGGGTGTCATTGGAGATAAGAAGCTCAAAAGAAACCTCCTCTGGGTCTTCCATCTCCCCACTGACTGAGAGAGGTCAGGTTCCAGTGAAGGAAATTTCTGGAACGATCTGCAGATCCCAGACATGTTCCACACTCACTCACGCCTCTGCACCATCGCCACTTTCTCATGCAGTAAAGCCCTTCCCCTGTCTATCTGGGACCCACATTTTGTCCAAGACCCCACTTACACAGCTTCTCCATCAGATCTTCCTGCAATAGAGGGGTCTGGTGCAGTCCCTTGAGAGATTTTTTGAGTCTGCACTGGCCATTTTTACAAGTTCAAGGCAGTCTTTGGGTAAGCAGGAGGAGCTGGCAGACAGGTCCTATCTCTGTACCTCCAGTAACAAGTTCTGTGGTAACCAGGGAAATGTGCATGCTGGGTCTGAAGCAGTTTCCCAAAGGGTCTTGCCTCTGGAATGACCAGGCATGGGATGCAAACGAGAGCGCCGAGTAAGGGGAAGGCCGGCAACTGGAGGCTGAGAACGAGGAGTAGGACTTTAAAGGCCAAAAATCCTCTGCAAACAAACCTAGGGACGGTCTTTCTGCCAGGACGCCTCTGATCAGCAACTAGAGCGCCCACGAAGGAGCAGTGGGGCAGGGCGTGGTGCAGGGGCTACACAGAAGGTCCGGATTTTTGGAGAGTAAAGAATCTCAGTGCAACACCTCGCCCCCCAGCATCTCTTAAGCAAATCACTGGGCTTCTCTCAATTTAGTTTCCTCGACTATAAAATGGCCCCCTCGGCAGCAGGAACTAAATTCCTATGCCTTTGTGCTGGAAGATGGGCGCAATTTGGCAGGCTGGGATCCCTAGGGACACCTCCCAGGCCTCCCCAGAGTTTCACGCTGGCCGTTTCCACTTCGGAGCACTCTCTCTGACACCGGTCCGCTCAACCTCCCTATACGGTTTACGAAACGCTCTGACATCCACGATGCATCCTCATTGCCCCATGCCATCAGCCCCTTTTACAAATGGGGAGACCCGAGACTCTCCGGAGCCACCCGATGGGCACCAGCGCGCCCGGGCGGACGGGCAGAGCTTGGGCACCACGGCCCCGGCGCGCTCCCGGGGGCGGGGCGAGAGGGGCGGGGCCCGCGCGGGTCACGTGATACCCGGCCCGGAAGCGCTAGAGCAGGAGACCCGGGGTGACCCGGTTGGTAGCTGCTAGCTCGAGCGAGCCCCCGCGCTCGCCGCCATGGCCTGGACCAAGTACCAGCTGTTCCTGGCCGGGCTCATGCTCGTCACCGGCTCCATCAACACGCTCTCGGCAAAGTGAGTCTGGGCCTGGCCGGGAAGGGGGTCTGCTGGGCCTGCGGGCGCTGGCGACCCCCGCGCACCTTCTCCGCCACCCCCCTTCTCCGTTCTGCTTTCCTGGCTTCACTGGCTTTCCCTGTCGCCCCGATCGGTTCACGTGCTTTATGACCACACGGGGTTGCGAGGTCCGGGAAATGCAGAGCGGGGCCGCACCCCGGGCTGGGGATCCGAGCCCCGGCTTTGATTCGCTGTCACCTCCTGTCTCTGCGCCTCAGTTTCCTTATCCTTAAAGGGCAGGGTTGGACCAGTTCCTATCCTCAGCCCTTCCAAAGCTGGCGTCCGAGCCTGCGCACTCCCCTCCAAGAGCTGGGGGCCAGCGAGGGAGACCCCAGGACTGGCGCACACGAGCCACAGTAGTGGCCGTCAGTGAGCGTGAAGGGCCGTGCGCTAAAGAAGGGGGTGGCCTATGGGCCCCTCATGGAGGAGGAGTTAGAGCTGCACCTTAAAGCTTAGGTGGGATTCTGTTAGTAAGCGGGGAGACTGTGAGGCCGGGAACCGAAAGGCCACATTGAAGTCGATTGTAACCAGCACCAGATGCCCAGGCTGGATTTTATCCCATGATCAGAGAAGAGCTTTTGAGCTGGGAATGCCATGCTGAAAGTGATTGAAAAAGAAAAAGGCAACGCGGTTAACGTGGTGGTGGACATGAGTGTTTGGTGCAGGAAAAACCACTCCAAGGCTGCTGTAGCAGTTCCCCAAGAGGGGAACTAGGAGGTGGTGGTGAGGAAGGGATGGGTGGCAGAGACCAGGTGCACACTGAAGCAACAAGGCCTGACCCACCACAGGGTCAAGAGACAAGGATCACTCCTGGTTTCTGCCTGGGAGGGGTGAAGAGAAGCGTCGTTAACCCAGACAGGGAGGGCAGATAAGGAGTTCGACCCTGGGATATGGGGGTGAGGCAGTGAGGACAGTCCCCAGGGGCTTGGGGACTGAGGACCCAGGGCGGTCATGAGGCTGAAGGGCGGGGCATAGCCTCCTCTCTGTCGTGGGAAGGGAGGCAGCTCCTTCTCTTGGCAGCTCTTTGCCTTTTTCTCTGCCCCTGCCTCATGGTAGGGCCTTCCTGCCCCTGTTGTTCACCGTCTAAGAGCCCCAGTGCCCACAGCTGGCCGTGGTCTGATTCCAAGGTACACGTGGACAACAGTGGGCAGTGGCCATCTCCCAGTTAGACCTCACTTCCACCTGGGCCCTGGCAGGCTTGAGAGCAAGGCAGAGTCGGCACGGTGACTCCCACCTCCCTTTCCACCCTGTGAGCAGTGCTCCAGGTCCCTGGTTTTCTGTCAGGCTCCACACTTTGAGAAACTGACAGGCAGCCTTTTGAGAGGAGTGGCCATTTCTTCATCATTTTTGAGGATTTACATCCACAAAATTTATATCTAGCACACTCCATCAGTGATATGAGCGGTACCTCAGAAGAGAGGTCTGAGGGAGAAGTATTCAGTTTAATTCATCAGGCGTGTATAAGGTGCCTACAGTGTGTGAGAAAGGGGACAGAAGTGACCTAGAGAAGGTCCGTGCCTTTGAGATGCTTAGAATCTGAGGTGGAGAAGACAGATGTGTAAAACGCATGGCAGTCACAGAGCCCTCCCTGCCCCAAACAGGTGGGAAAGTCAGTGGAACCCTGAGTGGTAACCTCCCATTTCTCTGGTTCACGTCTGGCCAGCTGTGTCTTGTGGAGAGCCGCTGGCCTTCTGGCCCCTGCAGCCTCCTGGAGGTCACCCCTCCTCCTGAGCCCTTAGCTATAAAGGAGCCCCAACCTGAGGGCTCCCATCTCGGGATGAGCGCAGCAGGACAAGTCTTCAAGGCCTTGGTCAGGTGCTTAGAGAGCAACTATAAGTCTGCCAGGGCCGCTGTCCCCAGGGAGAGTCCAAGTTGCCAGTTACTGCTGGGGTAGACTGTGCTGACTCAGCTCCTTCCTTAAAAAGCTCCAAACCTGTCGGGTAGGAAGCCAAGCAAGCCTCAGCCCCAGGAGGCATTGCCCTTGGAGGCTGCCGGAGAGTCAGGAAAGGGGCTCCCAGGTGGGAGACCCAACCTTTGGTCCTGTCCCCTGCCCTACAGCCAGTATGGGGCCACTCAGGACCCTCCCACCCCAAGACGGGCCCCAGAATTGGACCCTAATCGGTGTTCTAAGGACAAACCATGGGAAGGACACTCTCAGAGAGAGAACATAGGGGAGCAGCTGTGTATACCTCGAATGAAGTTTTGATTCAAAATCACGTTTCTGACCTGCAGTTTCTGGCAGGTACAGACAGACAAGCATGTGCTCACAACCAGCATAACCAGCTACTACACAGAGCACCTCGTTGCCTCGTACCAGGCCCTGCTCTGGCTGCCTTTCATGTGTGAACTCGCAGAGTTCTCATAACTACCGTATCAGGCGGGTATACTCATTATCCCCGGAGGAGGAAACTGAGGTACAGAAAGATTAAATTACTTGCCCAAGTTCAACTCGGCTACTAAGTGGCGGAGTTTATCGTCGCACCAGCATGATCTGGCTCTAAAATCCATGCTCTTGACCACCAATTCAAGGTGAGGCTGAGTACTTCTCCAGTCATTTTGGGGACATTTAGAGCTGCTAGAAACATGGAAATTGTGTAGTCTGATCCCTACAATTTATAGGGGAGGGCCCAAGAGAAGTTTCTTTTTGTGATTCAGCTGGTTGGTGTCAGAATGGGGACTGGAATTCAGGCCTCAGGATTTTAATTCGGTCCTATTTTACGACTGTGGTACACCAAAGTTCCTCCTCCTTGGGGATGTCCTCTCACATCTTCCCAGACAAGGACAGACAAGCCTATGTCCGGGTGTCTGGGAAGTTATAATCCTGGAAGCAGCATCTTCCTGCCCAGGCCTCAGGGTGCCCTCCCTCTAGGACTGGGCAGCAAGCTTCTTGGCCCAGGAGATCCTGCTATCCTCATCCTGCATGTCTTCCCCCTGGAACCGGAGGCCACTCAAGGTTCAGACTGAGAGCCTCTGGTAGCCTGCAGTTCCTTTAAAAGGAGCATGACGTTTCCCTCCCCGGGTTCTTGGGAGGAAAAAGGCAGTGGATAAGGAAGTGCGTGTGAGCACGTGCCGTCTGCTGTGCTGGGGCCGCGGGTCAGGTCGGCTTTCCTCTCTGCCCACTCGGCAGGTTTTGGAAGGCTGTAGGGAGACTGCCATTGATCAGGCTGGCCCTGTGGCCCCATCCCTGGGTCTTGACAGAGGGGCCCCCCCTGTGAACTGGCTGCTTCTGTTTCCGTGGCTGTTTTCTCACCTCCTCACCAGCACCTGCTGTCGATCATCTCCTTGAGACCAAACCATTTCTGTCTGCCTAAGCCATGCCGTGCGTGGGGTGGTGCCCGTTTTGAAGCCCCATTCTCCTGAATCGGCTGAGGTTTGGCATCTAAAGAGAGGTCAAGTAGGCGCTCACTAAGACTCAACTCCCCTCCTCAGTTCTTTAGAGGGGTTGAGGAAGCCTTAAATCAGGAGGGCAGGGTAGTACAGTGGGAAGAGCATGAGGCTTGGGGGCTGTGGGATTAGATGAGCCACTGGGCTGCTCTGAGCCTCAGTTTCCTCATCTGTAAAAGGGACTTGACAATCCCTGCCCTGCCTTCCTCTCAGATACTGTAGGATCTACTGAGGATGGTTTTCTATTCCATAGAGATGAGAAGTCTCATAAAAATCACCTCACAAGCCAGTGCCACCTGCTGTGACAGCCAGAGAGTGGAGAAGCCCTGGCCCTGCTGTAGGTCCCATGGCAGGAGAAAGGAGCTGACTCACGGGCTTGACAAGCTGGGGGCGTAGGAAATGGCAGAGATTCTGCGGGAACGGACACACAATCAGCCACTTCCTCAGTCTCTGCCTGCCACCCCCGGCCCCCACATGGACGTGCACGCCTCCCAGAATGCTGAGCTTTGAGTTTGGCCTGGGCCATGCTAGGGAGTGACTCACCACTCACTCCCCGGCCTGCCTGCCACCGCCGCTGAGGCTCGGGAGCTCTAAAAGGGGCCACCGGCCTCCAGCGGAGGCGCTTCCTCAAGGGGCCTCAGCCTGCCCCTTGCCAGGGCCTCACAGGCCTCCTGGCCTGGAGGTCAGGGCTTTCCCCCAGAACCAGTGTCTACAGAGAACGGAGGCCCATCTTCCAGGCTAACCCTCTCCTCACCCCAGTCAGGGCTGTGGGAAGATTCTGGAATTACCAGGTCAGAGGAGAACTTCCCAATGTCCTGAGTACTGTTCCCGTCTCAGTACCTGATGAACCCTGTGTGCCTCAGGTCCTCTCTGACCCCTGGGTTCCTTGTCTGTCAAATAGGGAGTGCGGTGAGATGATGGCCAAGTTTCTTCTACTTTGGCATCGTGGCTCTGTGGAACCACGGACAGTAGCCCGAGGCCCCACCAGCTACCTCTGCCACAGCCAGCAGGGCAGGTTCCAGATGCTCTCCCAGAAGCTTCCAGGCTGGAACAGAGGTGGGGCCACACTGACCCCACACAAGGAAGCTGACCCCTGCTCAATAAGAGGACAAGGGAGAAGGGACAGAAAATGATTTTTATTGATTACCTGCCGTGTGCCAGGCTATATATCTCTTACATCATTTATTACTCTTGACAGCTCTTCAGTGTTGGCGTGATTACCCCTGTAACTTGCCCAGTCTGTGTGACTCAGAACTCTGAGCTTCCCCTGTGTTCTGCTGTCTTTTCTGAGTGTAGATTCAAGCAGGGTTTGGCCCTGGGTCTGCCTATTACCTGAAGAGCTCTCCTCACCCCAGCCTTGGAGCCCCCCTCTGTAAAATGAGGATCCTTCTTTTGAGGCTTAAGTGGGACAGTCCCCGTGAAGTGTACACCTCAGGCTTGAGCACAAAATTGGTGCTCAGTGAATTGTGCATTAAAAAAAAAAAATACGTTTGTGAAGCATTGACAGACAGCAAGGTGCTACCCCCCTTAGGGGTCATTGCTGTCATCCCCAGATAAACTGGTGCTGGATTTTGGCTCTTGTCTGTAGGACCTGGGTCCTTCCAAGCCTGTACAATGAGCTGAAGTCCGTCTCCAGGCCAGGATGAGAGAGCTGACTTCCTGCCTCAAGACACCTGCAGGCCTGAGCTTCTCAGAGCTGGGCAGGGCAGCCCGTGTAGCTGACACCCAATCCCTTGGGCTGTGAGCCCACCCCAGGCCCTCAGATACAAACAGATTTCATTTCCCCAGCCGGGAACACCGCCAGCCAGCCTTGTCCAGGCAGACCTACACATGGAGAAAGCAAAGACAACCCTTGGGGTAGGGGAGGAAGCGCAGCACCAGCCCTACAGCCAGCTCCTCCAAAGGGCCCAGCCCTGGGGAAGGACTCAGAGGGGTTTCCCTTCCCCTTCCGACCTGCCTGTTTCACCAGCAGGGGGCACCTCAGCCCCAGGTGGGAGGTCAGACTCATGGATTTGTAGCCTCTGGCCTGCAGTTCCTGCCCTGTTGGCTGGGTGCGGTCTGGAAGCCTCATTTGTTCAACGGAAATGTTTTCGCTCCTGTATACTAATGTGCTAGGAGCAGGCGACTGAGAGATGGAGAAAGAGCCGGATGCTGAGCTCACTCTTAGATGACAGTGAATGTGGAACCAGAATGTGCGTTGTCGTTGATATAAGCTGTGCAGGCAGTAACCCACGGTGCATTCACCACTGCTAGATCTTGGGAGACTCTTGAGCCGGCCAGTCTGTGGTCTGGGTGTGGCACCAGGTTGAGGAAGTGGCTTCCATACCTAGCACAGCCCAGTCCAGAAACAGAAAGCCTTTGCCTTAGGCTTCTGGTCGACCTTCGTGGACTGGGCAGCACGTCCCTTATCCCCCCTGGAGGAGCCCAGGCGCCAGCCCTGGCAATTCCTGTCTCTCCGACCTGCTCACTTGCTCTGGGGCAGTTGGGTCTGTGCCCTCGGTAAGGTGCGACTGCTTCACTCTTCCTCACTTCTCCTGTTTTGCTCAGTTGCCCCACGCAGGCCTTCTCAGTGGGCTCTTCTGCAAAAGCAAGCCTGGCTCCAAGAGCAGGCCTGCCTGGGCGAGCCGTGCAGTTGGTGTGTGGCCCACACCCACATCCATGTCCTGCCCTGCCCGGGATCCGAGAGCCAGAACCAGCAGCAGATCAAACAGAATTGCGAGCCCAGAGAGCAGGCGGCTTTTGTTCTATAGCAGGGGCTTTCTTGTCCCTTTGGTACTGGGACTGGTGACAGCCTCAACTCCTGAGCCACCCAGGGTTCCAGGTTTCTCTCTGTCTCTAACCAGTCCTGTCCGAACTTCTCTCTTCCCTTCAACTCTCCTTTGCCCCCACCAGTCCCAGGAACCACAGGCCCTCCTAACTGCTCCTCCTCCACACCTCCAGGAGCGGGCAGGGTCTCTGCTGTGGGGTAGGTTTGCCTTGGCCTTATATTCTTCAGGTGAGATGTGTTCAGGTCTGTGCTCCCCACGTAGTTGGCCAGGAACCCCATCACCACTAAGCCAGCCCTTGCCACTGCCAGTGTCCCAGCCCCTAGCTGTGTGTCAACCCCAGACCCTAACTGCATCATAGCCAGCGGTGTGTGCCCCATGGCCCTGTGGGGGAGGCCCAGGCACTGGGAGGGCTCCCCGCCCTTTGGGAGCAGAGGCTTGCCACAGACGTGAGCTCTGGGTCTCTGCTGACTTGAGTCAGCACGTGCCGTGGCTGGTGTAGTTGGAGCTGTGTCAGCTAACCCGGGGTGTCCAACACAAGGGAGGGGCCACATCTTGCCAGCCTCAGTCTGGGCCAGATCACATGGTCTTGGCTCTGGGCCTCGGCCCACCAGTGCACCACCAGGAGTCAGCAGCCGGGAGGGGCGAAAGGTTGGGAAGGGCTGTTTAGCTAGGAGATGAGAAGATTCAGAAGGATGTTGAAAAGTCCCCCAAAATCTGAAGAGCTTCCAGTGAAAGATTAGACTAGACTCCAGAGACATAACTAAGCCTAGCAAAAGTGAAATTCAGGAGAGGAAGTTTTCCTGCACAGATGGCAGACAATTCGGAGTGATTGGTAAGTAAGCTGCCCAGAGCGCTGTGTCGCAAAGGATACTGAGCTCGTGTTTGGGCTCAGAGGGGAAGTTCGTCATAATCAGTCATCACCACCTGCCAGGCCTGACTGGGAGGTCACTCCAGGAGAGCGATGTTTGCCACCTGCTTGAGAGTCCGCGGTAGAGCGATCTTCCAAGCCGCTTTGGTTCTTTGAAGATGATCAGGTGGTCATTTCCCAGGCCCCAGTATTACCATAGATCAGAGGCTCTTGATATTTTTTGTGCCACGGATCCCTTTGACAGTCTGGTGTCGCCTGTGGACTTCTTCTTAGAGTAATGTTTTAAAATGTGCAAATAAAAGACCAAGGATTACAAAAGAAGCCAATTAAATTGAAATGGAGTTATCAAATATTTAAAAAGCAAATTTATGATACAATAATATATATGCTTTTTAATACATTAAATTATAAGAAGTGGGTCTAATTACTGTAATTATTATGAGTGATGAGAATAAATGATACTTCACGATATATACAGTGACTCTAATGTGATAATGAGAATATCTGTGATTTCCATGGTATTACAAAGGCACCGACATTCACTCCTACATTCCTAATTAGAGGAAATGCTGGGTCAAAACACCTTGGTAGGCCAGGTGCAGTGGTACATGTCTATAATCCTAGCACTCTGGGAAGCCACAGCAAGAGAATTGTTTGAGGTCAGGAGTTCGAGACCAGCCTGAGCAAGAGTAAGACCCCATCTCTACTAAAAATGGAAAAATTATCTGGGTGTGGTGGTGCATGCCTGTAGTCCCAGCTACTCGGGAGGCTGAGACAGAAGGATCACTTGAGCCCAGGAGTTTGAGGTTGCTGTGAGCTAGGCTAACGCCATGGCACTCTAGCCCAGGTAACAGCGAGACTATCTCAAAAAAAAAACAAAACAAAAAACTCCTTGCTGTAGAGACTGGCCCCTTTGCAAGGGAGCTCCACTCTGGGACTGAGTCACCCAAGTCCGGGCCTCTTGGCATTGAGAGGAGTGAGTCTTTCCTCCAGCGTCAGGGCAGGGTTGAGAGCCCTGCCGTGCTGCCAGGGTCTGACCTTCCCTCTCTCTGCTGCAGGTGGGCGGACAACTTCACGGCTGAGGGCTGCGGAGGGAGCAAGGAACACAGTTTCCAGCATCCTTTCCTCCAGGTATCTGGCCCTGTCCCTCCCCTCCTCCTATCTCCCACATCTCATCCCCCATGAGGCTGGGCTGCTTCCTGACCTAGGGGTACAGCCTTTCTCTGCTCCCAGAAGAGCTGCCCACTTCTCTCTCTCCCTCCGCAGAACAGAACCTCTGGAAGTGGGCAAAGGGCACAGGCCTTTGCAAGAGGTTTGGAGAGTGGTCATGCCCTCACCACATCCAAGTCAGGACACAGGGAAAACATCAACCCCAGTGGCAAAAGCCTGCTCTCCATCTACTGGGAGCCCAGAGCCAGCTGGGGCAGGGCTGATGCCATAAATGGAAGACCCCCTATTTGCCGGACTGGGAATCAGGAGACTCAAATGGCAGCCCCAGCTCTGCCACCAACTTACTTTGTGGCCTTACATAAGTCTGAACCTCTCTGGGCCTCAATTTCTCCGCCTGCAACTTGACTAGGGATTAGCCTGGATCGGGGGTTTTCAGACAGGGCTCTACATGCCTTAAGGTTTCATCGGGATATTTTGGGGTCTTTGTGAAGACCTAGGAAGCAGTCTCTGGCCTCCCACGGCAGCTCTGCTTTTGTGTGTTTTACATGTTGGGGTTCTAGGTAAGCTCTTGTTTGAAGCAAGTTTGTATTTTAAAAAAAAAGTGTTGAAGGTGATCCCCGAGGTCCCTTCCAGCTCTGAAGTCCTTGGACTGTCGTCCCTGCAGGCAGTGGGCATGTTCCTGGGAGAGTTCTCCTGCCTGGCTGCCTTCTACCTCCTCCGGTGCAGAGCCGCAGGGCAGTCAGACTCCAGCGTGGACCCCCAGCAGCCCTTCAACCCCCTTCTTTTCCTTCCTCCAGCCCTCTGTGACATGACAGGGACCAGCCTCATGTATGTGGGTGAGTAGCCAGGCCAGGCTGAGAAGGACTCAGGGCCGAGGGGCTGGGTGGTACAGGGCCATTGGTGAAACAGCACCCCCCGACTCACCTTCCCCCCCCCCCGCCACTCTCCCCCAGACTCCACGCACATGCACGCACACAGCTGGGGTTGATGAAGCACCCTACTGTGTGCTCGGCACATCTCCAGCCCCAGGGACCCCTCAGCAACAGACAGCCCTTAGGAGCTAACAGTCGTGTGTCTCTCCTCTCCTAGCTCTGAACATGACCAGTGCCTCCAGCTTCCAGATGCTGCGGGGTGCAGTGATCATATTCACAGGCCTGTTCTCGGTGGCCTTCCTGGGCCGGAGGCTGGTCCTGAGCCAGTGGCTGGGCATCCTGGCCACCATCGCGGGGCTGGTGGTCGTGGGGCTGGCCGACCTCCTGAGCAAGCATGACGATCAGCACAAGCTCAGCGAAGTGATCACAGGTATGGCCAGGGCGGCCCTGTCCTGTCCCATCCTCCCCAGGTCCCAGCACTGATTCGTTTCCTGGACGACTTGTGCCAGCTCTCCCGTATGCCAGGCCCTGGGTACACCTGCTCTCGGGGTGGCGGACAGAGTGTAGGGAAGACTGGAAAGGGATGTGGCTATACCAAGGAAGACTGGCAAGTCTTTTGTTCTGTAATATAGATTTAGACAGAGAAACTGCTAGATCTGGAAATGGAAAGGAACAGACGCTTATTGAGCACTTACCAAGTGCCCAGCCTGGTGCTCAGCACTGTGCATTCATCAACACAGTGACCCTCACGGTCCCCAAGGGGAATCACAGCCCATTTTACAACGAAGTGGCCGTCCTGGGTTACTCAGGGCCAGGATTACCCAGGGATATCTATCTCAGAGCCTGCTGCTTACCCAAGGGGCAGCTCTCAGGCCCAGGCAGGCCTCTGCACCTTCTGGAGCCTCAGCCCTGGCCTGCTGGCCTGCCCCTCAGAGCCCAGGGGATCAGGCACAGGTAGTGAAAACTGAGCCTGTGAACCATATGAGGCCCTGCAAAGGTCAGGGATGGCATGTTGTTCTGTCCCCACAGCCATGCTGTCCTGGTCCCCAGACCCCGTGCATTCCTGCCCTCATGTGAGCCCCTCCTTCCATACAGGGGACCTGTTAATCATCATGGCCCAGATCATCGTCGCCATCCAGATGGTGCTAGAGGAGAAGTTCGTCTACAAACACAACGTGCACCCACTACGGGCCGTCGGCACTGAGGGTGTGTGTGGGCACAGGGGCCTGGGAAGAGGGGGCTGGAGGGTGGCGTGGGGAGTGAACTGCACACATGGAGCACTGGGTGAGGTACTGGGGACCTCTGAGAGGGGACCCTCCTGCCCCCATGCCTTCCTCCTTCACCAGGTGTGTGTTGACAGATCCTCTGACACCTGCTGTGCCAGCAGCTAGGGCAGGCCGAGGACGAAGACGAAGGAGATGCAGGCCCCACTCCAGAGGAGGTTACCAGCCAGAAGGAAGGGCCAGGCAGTGCACTTGAGCTTGGACCACTTGTGCTCAAATGATGTCTCATTTGCCAAGCATATCTGAGTGTCTCGGGGCAGGGAAGGTGGCATTTGAGCTGCAGATTTCAGCAGGCAAGAGTGGGAGCAGAGAACTCCAGACAGAGCAAAGGAATAAGGAGCTGGACATGAATTTGGAAGCCAGTGAGGAATACTTCGTGTGCAATATGGGTTATTGCTGGGGAAATAATCAGCAGTGAAGTAGGTTAGAGTCGTGTCGAGGAGAACCTTGACATCAGGCAAGTGGATGAGACTTTAAATGACAGGCAGGCAGGAACCACTGAAGGGTTTTGGGCAGAGAAGTAACTATCAACATTATGTTTTAAGAATATGGAGTTAGCAGGATGGGTTAGAGCTGTGCTCCCAAAGAATGGCCTGCGCGGGGGCGCCTGTCTAGGAGCGGTTCATGCCTGGCACAGCGAGCTGAGGATCTCACAGCAGAATGAAGCAGCTAGGTCAGCGACGTCACTGAGCATGCTGTTTGTTTTCTCTTTCTATTTTCTGGCAAGACTTTATGAATGAAACAGCATATCGACTTACGTTCTGGCGCAGGCTTCTTGCCACAGACCAGTAACAAACTGAATTAGAGAGCTGTTTTTCCACACTGGTAGAAGCAGCATAGTGAGTTGCAGCCAGCAATTCTTTAAATTAATAGAATAGAATTTTAAAATGTCAGAGCGTTGTGCATAGCAAGGGTAGCTGTTGTTTTGTGAGTGCGTGTCTGCATGCCTGCGCACATGTGGGCTGGGTCACAATATAAAATGTATGTCTTACCCTTGATCCAGTCAAAAAGCGCGGGTTAAAGTGGAGAAGGGGCAGCGGGAGCCCATGCAGGCTAGGGGGTTCCTGAGAGGCTGAGGGAGGGATTCCCAGAGCAGGCCCTGGGACCTGAGAGGAGGGAGCCACGTGAGGGCTGCTGGAAGGAGCAGCCCAGAGATCAGAGGAGACGGAGCAGGCAGGACGTGCTGGGAGTCTGGGGCAGGGACCAGAACGTGACACGCTTCCTCCACCCCCCCAGGCCTCTTCGGCTTCGTGATCCTGTCCCTGCTGCTGGTGCCCATGTACTACATCCCCGCCGGCTCCTTCAGCGGAAACCCTCGTGGGACGCTGGAGGACGCCCTGGACGCCTTCTGCCAGGTGGGCCGGCAGCCGCTCATCGCCCTGGCGCTGCTGGGCAACATCAGCAGCATCGCCTTCTTCAACTTTGCGGGCATCAGCGTCACCAAGGAGCTGAGCGCCACCACCCGCATGGTGTTGGACAGCTTGCGCACTGTCGTCATCTGGGCAGTGAGCCTGGCGCTGGGCTGGGAGGCCTTCCACGCACTGCAGATCCTCGGCTTCCTCATCCTCCTGATGGGTACCGCCCTCTACAACGGGCTGCACCGCCCGCTGCTGGCCCGCCTGTCCCGGGGCCGGCCCCTGGCGGAGGAGGGCGAGCAGGAGAGACTGCTGGGTGGCACCCGGACCCCCATCAACGATACCAGCTGAGCCTCCTCCCTTGAGGCCCCTGCTGCCACCTGGGTGCTCCTTCACCCTGAGGCTGAGGCCACACAGGCTGGTGAGCCTCAAGTGCCCTGTCCCTACAGACCCCCACGGCAACTGCTGCCACAGAAGATAACACAACACCCAAGTCCTCTTTTCTTGCCACCCCCTGCAGGGTGGTGTTACCCAGCCCCCATAGGCCTCTGAGCCCCTCCTGCAGCACTAGCACTAAATCATGAAGTTGAATTGCAGGAATTTACAACCCTAGTGTTTCTGGATCATAAACTAGATTATCATAATAGATTGTCTAGTTTATGTGCTATAAGCTAGATTTGGTTCTCTGAAGAAGTCAGTGAGCAAATTTAAACCAGAACTAAGCATTGTATTTCCTAAAATTTATAAGATAATCCCTAAACCTGTCTAGAGACCTGGGTTTCAGCCCAGACTCTGCTGCGAACTCAGTGTCTGCCCCCACCCAGCATGTTAGGTAGTTGGCCCAGTGCCGACTAATGCGAGTACCCCGGGCATTGTGTTAAATGCTTAACTTAACACATTCTCTTGCATAACAGTTTTTAGAGGTGGGTACACGTGAAGAAACTGGCCCAGAGAAAGTGAAGAGACTTCCTCATGGAGCCAGTATCCAACCTAGATTTACCTGATTCCAGACCTCTGGCCCACCTGCTGTATGGGTCTCTGTGGGGTCTTCGGGGCAGGTTTCCTATGGCTGGGTTGGAAGCTTCTTGTACTGTTGCCCTCCAGGTAACTCGACACAGGAAAGTGACTCCTGACACCAGGAGCCACTTGAGGTCCAAGTGAGTCCTTGGCTTCACGCAATTAAATTCAGGAGCCAGCTGACAGTATAAAGTGAAAGCAAGATTTATTCAGAAACTCCAAAAAGTCTACTCCACAGAGTAGAGGCTGGCCCTCCCTGCAGAAGAGAACCTGCCGCTTGGTTCCCTGATGCCTTTCTATTTAACCAACAGCTTAAACAATGAGAGGAATATTCACGGAAGGGGCAGTGTTCCTCGCCATCTTGGTTCTAACCAGTTGGAACTTGCCTGCCTCCATCCTGTTTTGATCAGGGCAATTTGAAATTTTGCGACCTCCTGACTCAGGTAATGCCACAGCAATACCCTAGGCAATACCTGCAGCAATGCCCAAACCTGCCAGTTCCCTGTCTCAACCCCATCCTGAAGAGAAGGGAGAGCAGGACCCCAGGGAGCTGAGCAGCCCCTAGTTGCAGTGTTGCTCACTGGGCGCTGGGTGCGTGGACTGGTGACGCGCAGCCTCAAGTCTTTTTCCTGGGCAGCTTAGTCAAGCAGAGTACTAATGCCTTCCTTAAAATAGCCTCTGAGAGAAGGGAGCTTTTGACAAGCGAAGCTCTCCAGTTGTGTGGGATTCCAGCAGGTCATTAATGTGGGTTTTTTGCGGGGAGGTCCATTCCACCAGCTCTGAGTCCCAGGGGGCCCAGAGCTTCTCCGGGCCATGGCATCTGTCGAGAGAAGAAGGAAACGCACACTGAGAGTGGTGGAGACTACAGCTGCCTTGTCCAAAACCTGGGGCCTTAGAATGTTGTTTCGGACTTTCATTTTTAATAAAAGAAAAGGAAAATTAGCAATATTAGACTTTTAATGAAAGGGAAGGGGCACAAAAGGATGCCTGGGGGTGGGGTCTAGAATGTTGGATTGGAAAAGCTCTGATGTACCAAGGCATGCGAGTCACCTCGGCTTCAGTTCACTGTTCACGTGAAGAAACTAAATCCCAGAAAAGCAAAGGAACTTCCCCAAGGTCACATAGCCACTTACAGGCAAAGCCAGGTTTCTAGGTTCTCAGTCTTTGCCTGTCGCATTCTGCCACAGATAGGGTAGCCAGGAGCCCACTCAAGAGTCCAGGACCGCTCACCTGCTACGTGCTGCCCCACCTGTGTGCTCAACCGAGCAAAGTGTTTACAAGGGTGTTAGGGGAGCGCTTGGCCTTTTTTCGAACACTGCCCTAGGGGGCTGTTGATTTTAACGTTGAAGCGTTGGGGTGGTGAAGGTGACAGCATATAGGGAGGGGTCCATCAGACCTGCCACCAACTCAGGCAAATCACCACCAAGCACTTTGGGTCTTCACGTCTCTATAATGGGAAATCCAGGCTCCATCTCCCAGGAGGAAAATTACGTAAGACAATAGCTGGGAAGACACCTGGAAACTGCCAAAGCCCAGTGGAGAGCTGTATGAGCTGCGCTGTCCACCAGGGGTGGTATGTCAGCAGCAAAGAAGTCCCAGCAGAGGCCTGGTGCCCGGCACAAAGCATCATTTGCTCAGAGGTGGAGAAACCTTTTATTAGAACACTCCATCATGGAGTAAAATGTAAAATTCACGTTGATTGTAAATTAAAACGGGATACCTAGAGAAATGTTTATGCCGACAGTAGGTGCCCTCCCAGACCCCTGGAGCTGGATGTGCTTGGGAGGGTGAGTGTGGGAGGCCTTGCCGTGCCAGCCTGGGCACGTCTGAGGGAGGCAAGGCTCTCCACGCTCCCGCTGAGACTGGGGGCTCCTGGGAATGTCTAGCTGTGGCCGATTGTTTTGAGTGGATAGGGAGCCCTGAATGGTGGGAGTTGGGCGTGGAGGCCCTGAACCTGAAATTAGTATTGATGAAAATAGACTTCTAGAAACTTGGTTCAAATACAGTCTAATTTTAAAAGTCTGCATTCCAGTGAACTGATCAGTCCCTGTCCCACCCAGAGCAATCCTGGGGGATCCCTAGAAGCTGGGTGCATCCTCTTCCGCCAGCATCTGCCCACGGGGCAGACCGAGGACCGTGCCAAGTGATCTGTTTGCTTTCCCTTTGTCCTAAGGTCTCGGTGTAGTTTTACAAGCAAACAGCACTCCAGGAAGTCAGTGCTCGGCCCTGATGAGGACCGGACGAAGGGTAGGGCACCAGTGTCCTCAGCTCTGCCCCAACCCTGACTGGGTGACCCTGGACAAATCATGTTATCTCAAGACCCTGCTGCCTGTAAAAGGGAGAACTTCTTTGCATTTCTAAACATGTTCACCTCCCTGACCCTCTTGTAGATTGTTATTCTTTTGTATTTAGCTTGGTTAAGTGTCCCTCTGGCCTTGTTGATTATATCCTTTCAAAACCTGAGGTCAGCAGGGGATTCCCTGTGTAGCCATAAAAATTTATAAATTATCCTTCTTCATTAAGCAGACTTGTCAAAAATTTTTAATAAGGGATTTCTATCCCATAATCCAATAAACTTTGTTGAGAATTGATGTGCTCCAAGGACTGTGATCCATCAAATAAGAGAGACATGGTAAAGAAAGAGTAACAAGGCCAGGTGCGGTGGCTCACGCCTGTAATCCTAGCACTCTGGGAGGCCGAGGCAGAAGGATTGCTTGAGGTCAGGAGTTCGAGACCAACCTGAGCAAGAACGAGACCCTGTCTCTACTAAAAATAGAAAAAATTAGCCAGGCAACTCAAAATAGAAACAAAATATTAGCTGGGCGTGGTGGCGCGTGCCTGTAGTCCCAGCTACTCGGGAGGCTGAGGCAGGAGGATCACTTGAGCCCGGGAGTTTGAGGTTCCTGTGAGCTAGGCTGACGCCACGGCACTCTAGCCCAGGCAACAGAACAAGACTCTGTCTCAAAAAAAAGGAAAAAAAAGAAAAAATTCTCATTGCATGACATGCAATGAGAGGCCTCTGTATGACATACAGGGGAGGAAGCACAGGAGAGAGGGCTGTGGGTACAGGTATCAATGCTACACCTGAACTGGGGATTGGAGGATGAGCAGGAGTCATCCAGTCTAGGGAGGTGGGAGGGAGGCAAAGAGGAAGAAACGGGTTGTAAAAACCACAGAAGCATGTATATGCATGACAAGGTGACGTGCTAAGAACTGCAGGTAAGTAGACTGCTATGACTGGCAATAAGCATGCCACACAGAAAGTGGCAGGAGGCCAAGCCAGAGAGGTAGGCAGGAGCCGGTGGGTGCCGTGCCTCGTAGACCTTGTGAGGCATTAGAACTTATCCCGTAGACAGTACAGGAGAGTGCTGTGGAGAGTTTTAGGCAGGGGAATGACACGATCCAAACTGCTGTTTAGAAAGACCATGTGATTATCACATGGAGACAAGTTTGGTGAGAGTTAGGAGGTCCTAAAGGCAGAGACCAGTTAAACAACCTTTGATTAACTAGGGTCTGAACCAGAGAGGATGAATACAAGAGTCATTCAAGGAATAGACTTTTACCTTTTAGAGCCTGTGGCTGTGGGATCTTCTATTGCATAAGTCTCCACCAGAGAGTGGATGTTCTGGACCTGACTGCTCACACCACCCCCGTCGCCAGTGGACCTAATGAATGTCCCCAAGTACAGCTTCAGGGGGCCAGCCTCAAAAACTCTGCCTTACAGGACTGCAGACCCTGTTCACTCAGCCTGCCATTGCTGAGAGTTAGGCATTACCCACACAAGCTGGGCAGGGACTCCCACCAGAATTCTGGAACAGCCAAGGGGGATGTCACCAGGGCATCACAAAAACATCCGAAAGTCATCAGTACAGTGCTAGTTTACTTTTACTTCTGCCTCTGCAGAAACCAGAACTCACTCTCGCCGTGGGGCCAGCCTCCTGCTCTCCGGAAGTGCCCAGTCCTGCTCTCAGGATGAAGGTCCTGCTGCTCCTTTGGATCCCAGCTTTGATGCTGGATGGGTCACCTCGCAAACAGGTGACTTACCTCTTTTTCCTAGTTAGTCTTTTTCCTCGGTCTCAGTGTTCATCTGGTTTAGAAACTGAATTAAGATTAGGACTATTAGGGGATTAAAAAAGAAGAAAAGCCTTTCCTCTGTACTCCCAGCTGCTCTCTTTGGTAAGATCCGCTCCCATTACCACTGAAATAATCCTCCGAAGCCCACGCCCTGAGAGTCTTCGGTCCACTCTCCACCAAGACGCGCTTCAGCTCCTCCACGCTCCTGGCGGGAGCTGTCAGGGCACACGGCCTTTGTTAGGAGCACGGGAGGCCCACCAGTGTCTGGCTCCTTTGATAAACTGAAAGAAGCTTCTTGCCCTCCCGTGGGGACCAGCTCCAGTCTCTCGCACCCTGCCCCGGGTCCCAGCAGGAATCAGCAGGGGTGGATGGGACTGTCTCTCTCTCTTCGTCAAGCCACTATTCCTTTTCTCTGCAGTTTCTTTAGCAATTAATTACGTTTGGTCAGAGTACAGTCACGCGCCGCGTAACAGTGTTTCCACCAGCGACACGCTACATATGCGATGGTGGTCCCACAAGATCGAGTATAACGGAGCCGAAAGACTGTTGCCCA